GGCGGGGCGTGCCCGCCGTGACGACGAATCCGAGCTCACGAACCAGGCTGCGAAGCCAGCCACCGAACAATGGCCGCCCGCGCCCAAAACAAACCAGCAATTCGAGACGACCGTTGTTCATTCCTCCATCTTGTAGCATCTCTTCAATCTGACTTTAATACGGCTTAGACTGATTCCTTCTCCTTGACGAGCCCAGCCAACGCACTCATCAGTCCCGGAAATAGCAGAACACCCACAGCGTTGGACGACACCGTAACGCAGCACAAGGACACTATCTTAGCGCAATCATGCACCCACGAATTCCTTTCTTTATAACTCTGCTTCTGGCCGCCGCTGGCCCTGCCCGCGGTGAGCTAACTTTGGCTGCTGCCTGAACTGGTAATTGGTGCCCGCTCAGGCCAATGATGATGCAGCACGCGCCGCACCCATCGTTGTTGTTTCCGACACCACTACGGGACTGCAAACAAAGCCATCTCGCCAAACCTGGCCCGCGCGTACCCGCAGGTGGATGGGTCGTCAGCGATGACAGCAGCATCGCATCCGTGCCTGCTGCAGCCACGCCCCTGGCTGCTCCAGCCGCTGCCGCTGCCGCTGCCTCCCCTGTGGCGGCTGCGGACCCCGAGGCTGCCGCCCTGACGGCTATGGCCTCTGGCCAGGCGGCCCAGTGGATCGTCACCTACCGCGTCAGCGCCGACGAGGTGGCCGCCGAGGCCGCCACCCCCCTGGCCGCCTCAGCGACCGCCGCCACCATCGCCGCCGCGGGCGCCTCCTCGCCCGCAGACGCCGCACTGCTGCGCATGCAGCGCACCGTCAAGGCGCGCGTGATGTCGCCGGGCGGCGCCTTGGCAGCGCAGGGCGCCAGCGTTGTGCGCGACTTCCAAAACCTGCCCGTGTCGGTGGTGGCGCTGCCCAGCGCCGCCGCCCTGGCGACCCTGCGCGCCGACCCCTCAGTGGCGAGCGTGGAGCCCAACCGCCCCAACAGCCGTGCCTTGGTGCAGAGCCTGCCCCTTGTCGACCAGCCAGCCGCCGTCGCCGCGGGCAGCAAGGGCGCCGGCTGCTATGTGGCCGTCCTTGACACCGGCGCCGACTACACCCACCCCGACCTGGGCTCCTGCGCCACCGCCGGCGCGCCTGAGCCGTGCCGCGTGGCCTACGCCAGGGACTTCACCAAAGTAGATGACGGCCAGCTGGACAGTGACGGGGTGAGCATCCATTTGGTGTTTGGGGGGAGTGGCGGCGCTGACTGTGAAGTGGTTTGGGCGGGTGTGGTCAACAAAAACTGCCTTGCACCCCACCATCACCCCCTACCCAAAGGTATGGGTGATTGCTATGCCTTACTCCCCTCAACCCCTCACACCTCGTGGCCCCAACCTCACAGCATGGCACCAATGTGGCGTCTATTGTGGCCCGCGTCGCCCCTGGAGTCAAGATTTTGGCCCTGGTGAGCGGCTAAGATGCCATCGCTTCAGATCCTCTTGTAAAGACAGCATTGCCTTCAGTGGCCACCATTACAGACCAAAGCACTAGCCAGTATGCATACAGGCATTGCTGCCATGAGGGCTGTCTGAATGCACATGCACTCTCTGACAAATGCTTTTGCCCCCCCCCCATCCCCTCCCATCCCTGTTCAACCTTCCCAACTGACAGGACGTGTTTTCAAACGATGCAGCTGGCAATCTCGTGGCCTGGGACAGCGACATCCTGTCCGCCATAGACTGGTCCATCAAGGTCAAGAACAATGGCACGTACAACGTCTGCGCCATCAACCTCTCCCTCGGGTCCGCCTCAAATGCCGCCACTCCCTGTGCCACCAGCGCCTACGAGTCTTCCTTCGCCACCGCGCGCCGCGCCGGCATCGTGCCCGCCGTCGCCTCCGGCAACGACGCCAAGAAGAACGCCATCGCCAGCCCGGCCTGCGCGCCGTCCGCGGTGTCTGTGGGGGCTGTCTACGACAGCAATGTCAACTCGCGTGCCTGGAGCGTCTGCACAGACGCCTCCACCGCCGCCGACCAGGTCGCCTGTTTCAGCAACAGCGCCGCCTACCTCACGCTGCTGGCGCCCGGCGCCATCATCAACGCCGGCGGCTGGTCAATGGCCGGCACCAGCCAGGCCACGCCCCACGTGTCGGGCGCTGTTGCAGTGCTCAAGGCCGCAGTGCCCACCGCCACCGTCGCCCAGGTGATCGCTGCACTGCAGTCCAGCGGCAAGCTCGTCACCGACGCGGCCAACGGTGTCAGCACGTCACGCATCGACGTGGCCGCGGCCGTTGGCGCCCTGTCCAGCGGCGGCGGTGGCGTGGGCGCCAACACAGACACCACTGCCCCCACCGGCTCGGTCAGCATCAACGGCGGCGCTGCCATTTCTGCCTCCCTGGACGTGACCCTGGCCATCAGCGGCACCGACGCCAGCGGCGTGGCTTCCATGTGCATCAGCAACACCGCCGCCGCCTGCACCGCCTTTGAGACCTTTGCCACAACCAAGGCTTGGCGCCTAGCCGCTGGCGCCGACGGCGTGCGCACAGTCTTTGTGACTCTCAAAGATACCGCAGGCAACACCATGGCCACCCCTGCCACCGACACGATCACCCTGCAAACGACCCAAGCAGACAACACACCGCCAACCGGCTCAGTCACCATCAATGGGGGTGCTGCCACCACCACCACCCTGGACGTGACCCTGGCGATCAGCGGCAATGACGCCAGCGGCGTGGCTTCCATGTGCATCAGCAACACCGCTGCCGCCTGCACCGCTTTCCAGGCCTTTGCTACCACCAAGGCTTGGCAGTTGGCTGGCGGCGCCGACGGCGTGCGCACCGTCTTTGTGACTCTCAAAGATACCGCAGGCAACACCATGGCCACCCCTGCCTCAGCCACCATCACCCTGCAGACGTTGGTTGCCGCTGGCACCAGCGCTGTCGTAATCAACGGCGGCACCGCCTACACCAACGCGCGCACCGTGCCTCTGCAAATCAGTGCCCAGGGGGCAACCTCCAAGACCAAAATGTGCATCAGCCAGACCGCTGCAGACGCCTCCGGCTGCGGCGGCTGGTCTGGCTTCGCGGCCAGTAAGAAGTATTCTCTTGGCACCTCGCCTCAGGGGCTCCGCACCATCCGCGTTTTTTTCAGGGACGCCTCTGGCGCCGCGCTTCCTACTGCAGTGGGCACCATCTCTTTTGACAGCGTGGCACCCTCCATGGACCCCGCCGCCATGGCCGTCACGGCCACTCCCACGAGCAGCAGCGTCATAGTTGGGTTCCTGCAAGCCGCCACTGATGACGTGTCCGGCGTCGCGTCATACGTGGTGGTCGGCCGCCAAGGCAAGACAGCACCCCCGCGCTGCAGCGGCGCCAGCCTCAAGAAGGCCCTCAGCGGCGGCCTCGCCAGCACCGTCGCTGCCCCCACTACCCCGGGCACTGACGGTGTTCGCGCGGCCGTCGTGCAGTCGCAGAGCGTTTCTTTCTCGGGGCTCAAGGCAAGAACATCGTACTCGTTTCGTGTGTGCGCTCTTGACACCGCGGGCAATGCTGCCCAGGGTGTCACTGTCTCTACTAGCACGACTGGATGATTCCCTCACTGCTGTTCCCATCATCACTTGCTCCACCATCGCACGCGACACTGCTTCCACCCTTCGTCCCAATGTGCTACCAGTAGCGCAGCCGCAGACCCACCCCATTCTTTGAGCGAGCATTTTTTTGATGTCTTGGAGCGTGTTGTGACGCATCAGTGTGATCGCAAGCGCGTGCGCAAGGATATGCGTACGCCGTGTTGCGCGGGTTGCGTCACCAGCTGCCTTGTCACCCGGGCGGTCATGCAAGGCTTTTGTGAGGGTTGCGCAGTGCCGCCGGCTCTCCATGCGCAACTGGCCCTGCGCTTGGTGGGTTGTTTTCTGCCGCTTTGCCTTTTTCTGGTGCCTGAGATGCCCGCCTACGGCCTTTGCATTCCTGACTTCATCTGATCGGATCACTTTGCTGCCGTCAAACCTAGTGGCGCAGCCTTTCCCCTTGTCGGCGCCCGGTTGGTGCTGAGCGATACCTCAAAAGCATACCCTTTTTCTGGCCTCGCTCCTCTCTTGGTGTGGATCATGCTCTTACAAGGCGTGGTGTTGGTCAAGCGTGACCCACTGGCTTGTGCCTTCCACTAGCTCATCTCTACCAATTACTTTGCACCGCGCAGGTGCGTGTTTGTTTCGGCCTGCCGCTGAGCTGCGCACTGCTGTTGGTGCCAGCAATGCGCTTGTAACTCAAGTTTTGCTCATGATGCAAATGAGTAGACCTCCTACAGATTGCCTGCCAATCCAGTTTATCTGGGCCTGAGAATGGTGTCCCAAAACTTGTCTGCAGCTGCCCGCGCGGTACCGTACATTTCAGCAATGCTGCACGTGGCTGACTGAGTATGATGGGTGCCAGTGTGGCTGTGAGCCATGAGCTTCTGGTCAATGATGGTCATGTCAGGCAACATGTTCTGTTCGTGGGCGCACATCGCGCAGGATGCGCAGGCACACTATCGTAGTGTCACACGTGCTATTGCACGGTAGTAACCAGTTCGTAGACCACCAATAAACTATCTGAGGCATAAATGCTTGTGCAGGAAGTTGTCACAATACCGCTATACTTGAATATAGCCCATCGACTTGCATTGAGACCGTTGTCACCCGCCCTTTTTCCCGTGAGCACCACGGACATGCCAGTGGGCAGTGACCCGCGCATCATGGCCGCTCAAAACCTGGTGACACGGCGCCCTAATGGCAGTCACACTGCTCAGGATGCAGCTGTGCAGGCTTGCACAATGCGGCCCGCCGTTGGCGGCGCGCCGCACCCCGTCCGCAGCAACGGCGCTCCACGGCACACATTCAAGCAGGTGGCTGGCCGGCAGCCACCAGCAGGTGCATACTGCCCTGATACATACGGCCCCCACAGCTGCGCGGCTTCAGGACAACTTGAGCAGGGGGGGCGCCCATGCAGAGTGGCGTCTGGCAGCCTTGAACTGGGGCAGCCCGCCAACTTACCGGGAGGTGACAGATGCAATTGACGGCATGTGGTGGCGACATGGCAGTGAGGAGCAGCACATGCTCAACAGACTTGCTGTTTTCATAGTGGAGTCCAACAACCCATCAGCCAGCCGTTCGCCGGAGCAGAGAATCACCAAACCAAGTGAAGGCCGTCTGTACACAGTCACTGCATCTGACGCAGGCGCGCAGGGGCATCCTGTCAGCGCGGCTTTGCCTCATGATGAGTGCATATGAATGAATCTTGCTCATTTGCAAGATCAGCATGCTGCTTGTTACACGACCTCTTCAATGATGTAATCCTATAAATCTTGTTGCAAATGCATGAACCCCGCCTGCAGGGACCCAGCTGCGCAAGGACTTCCCAGACCACAAGGTCAAGTTGAAGACCTTGCTCAAGGATCAGCAATACTTGAGCATGGCCAACAAGACCGCAAAATGCCAGGTGGTCCAGCTGCGCGTTTTGCAGCTGGTGACGGAGCACACCCGCCTCACCTTTTTCAAGGACAGCGGCAATGCCGAGATCAGCGGCCCAAAGGACAGCGGCGGCGGGGACGGCGGTACAGGCGTGCTCTACGAGAATGCCAGGGAGCAGCTAGCGGTGCAGCAGAGTGAAGTATGGGACGAGGCGCCAGTGGTTTATGTCCAGAATTATGTTTCGTGCGGCTCCATGCTGTTGCACCTGCGGCACTGCAAGGTGCTGGCAGTGGACACAGAGCACGCGGACGCTGCCGAACCAGGCGGCGGCAGCTCGGCGCCCTCGCCGGAGCAGCAACAGCAGCAGCAGCAGCAGCAGCAGCAGCAGCAGCAGCAGCAGCAGCCGAGGCGACGCGAGCTGGCGTTCATGCAGATTGCGGCGCCGGCGGGTGGAGGCCATGCAGCGCGAATATACCTCATAGATGTGCAAGAGGCCGGTGTAGCAGCCGCACTGGGCACCAAAGGCGGCCTCAGGGCCGTCTTGGAGGATGATGAAGTGCTCAAAGTGCTTCACGACGCACGTGAGGTGGGCACACGGCTGCCGGAAGGGTCCTGCCAAGCAAGCACACTTTGCAGGTTTTTTTTGAAACCCTTGCGTGGATGAGGCACACGTTTTGCAGGGCTGCGGCGCAGTCAAGAACGCGTGGTGGGCAGCCCCCCTGGAAACTACAATTCCGTTCGGGGTGACTAAGCCTCCCGGGCCGCACCGCTGTGCTGCAGCACTGATGCAGATGTGGTGATGCTGAGGGGGGTGCTGTGTGGCCCGCCTGCCATCCTTTGCACTCGCAGGACGCCCGGGTGCTGTGGGAGCAGTACGGCGTCATCCTGACGAAGACATTGGACACTCAGGTGTGCGTGTGTGTGCAGGCAAGCGTGTGTTATTGTACAAGTATATCTGTATATGTGTACGCGTGAGCCCCCTTCCCAAAGTTCGTTCCCAACAAGTTGGTCTCACACAGTATAAGACAAAGGCGCCATCATTGGTCTGAGACAGCATGCCAGCAGCCATGGATTTTTCAGAAGCTGCCTATATACATGGGTGTTTCTGCTGCCATCAACAGGACCCTTCCCCTCGGTTGCCTACGCCCGCAGGTGCTGTGGGGTGCTGTTTCCGTGGGGGTTATGACTGAGGTGAGTTTGGAGGAGACGGTCGACAACACAGAGAAGCTTCGCCGCATTGGGCTTGGCGAGCTGTACAAGCTTGCCGGCGATGATCACCCAAACAAGGCCGAGGTCAAGGCCCAGTATGGCAGTACTCCCGGCAGGTAGGACGAGAGGGACAGATGGCACGGGGCCAGGGGCAGGGGGCATGAAAGTGAGCACACCCCAAGTTGGCAATCAAGAGCATGCCCCAGCAGCGCGCATGCTGCAGCAAGTTGGTGGCAGCAATTCGCGCCCTCAAGATCACCTGGCCCCGGTGCACAGCGCTGTCGACCTGCGAGCACCGGGTGGCACGCTTCCTGGACAGCCAGTAAGGCCATGCAAAACTTTCAAGCCTTCGATGCTGGCTCGACCCAGGTCCACCCCCTCCAACCCACCACTTCTGCAGCCCAAAGCAACACCCGTGCGCCTCACACCCCAACCGCTGCCCGCAGCCTCTGGCGCCAGCGCCCGCTGCCGCAGGATTTACTGACGTACGCAGCAGCTGATGTCAGATACCTGCTGCCCATGGCCAATGCCATGGTCAGCTTAATTCCTCCGTTTTTCACTGCACTCAGCACACTGCAGGCGAGGCTGCATGCGGGTGTGCCAATACCTAGAACTGGGCGTGAGCCCCCGCCGGCTGCAGCACTTGACGGCAACGATGACCGCGCGCGGGCACTGACACCTGGCGTCGCTTACCGCCTCAGCATCGGCGAGTACGGCGCCCCCAGCTATGCCCCTTGGCAGCAGCCGGCGGCGGGCGCAGCAGGAGAGGCAGAGCTTTCAGCAGGGCGGCCTGGGGTTGGGGGATCGTTGCCTGGACCAGCGCAAGAGGGGGTAGAGGCAGCGGCAGCGACAGCGGCCGCTGCAGCGGGAGCAGAGGCGGAAGCTGGAGGGCTTGCGGACGAGGGCGTTTCGTCCCTGATGCTGCTGCTGCCGGAGAGGTCGGTGGTCGGTGTGCGCCCCTTGAGTGTTGCAGGGTTGTGTTCGCACTGACGAGACACTTCTGCCTGCACAGAGGCGCACTGCACCGGGCACAAGCGTGCATGTGCAGGGGATGGTCTTGAAGGGTGACGGGTGAAAACCGCCTCAAGCAGGTTCGACGGCTTTTCACACCTTGGTTCCTCCCCTGTACCAAAGACATTCATTCCTTGCTCGCCACCTCCGGCTCTAAACCACACAGCCTGCAGCAGCAGCTGCACCCCTGGCTGGCGCCCCCACCCGGCGCCCCGCGGCTGCGGGAGCTGCTGCTGCACGGCCACGCCCGCCCAGCAGTCGCGCGACTCAGCGACGGCTCGACTGCGGAGCTGCCCGCGCGCGCGTCCCTGCCGGAGGCGCTAGCGGCGCTGCGCGCGGCTCGCGCGGCGCTCACGACAGCGGAACGGGCGGCGGCCCTCCTGCCAGCGTCGCAAGCAGGCTCGGCCTCCAACGGCGAGGCGGGGCAGCACGGCAGCGATGGTGGTGGTGGTTTCGTTCCAGCAGCAGCAGCCGGCAGCGAGCGGGACGCTAGCATGATGGGCAGCACTACGTCGAGCGACGGCGAGCCCTGGCAGCCGTGGGTTGGCGGCGGCGAGGACTACAGCGGTGCGCCGCTTTTTGACGCGGACAACCGTATGGCGCTTCCGGGGACGCTGCACCGCATCAGCGCCGCACGCGCGCGCGACGGGCGGCGCGTGGTCGGGCTGACGTACAGGGTGGGGCGCCACGTGCCCGGCGCCGCCGCGCCGCTGTACGACGTGCTCGCCCAGATGGCCGCGGTCCACCGCGGCAGAGCGCCGGGCGCGTGCTTCGGCGGCGCCGCCGCGGCGCCCAAGGGTGGTGGCGCTGCCGCGGCGCGGCTGCTGGGCGGCGGCGACGGCATGCTGGGGCAGAGCCCGTCGCTGCTGCTGCTGGGCCGGCCGGGCGCGGGCAAGACCACGGTGGGCGCGACTGCGCTTGCATTGCATTGCACTGCAAATAGCAGAGCTTGCCCTCGCGCACATATGGGCATGCTACCCGCACTCCCGTGCATTGCACAAGCCTGCAGAGAAGTCCATGTATGTGCAGCATCCAAAAGTGCTGCCAACCCTCACCCCACCATCGGATTTGGAAGCCGAGGGCACTGTGCCAATTCCCGTTGTCCTAACCACCCCCAAACAACCCAATTGCACAGCTGCTGCGGGATGTGTCAAGGATCTTTGCAGATGATCTGGGGCTAGCGGTTGTGGTGATTGACACCAGCAGCGAAATCGCTGGCGACGGCGACGAGCCGCACCCATGCATTGGGCGCAGGGCTCTGCGGCTGCAGGTGTGTGTGTGTGTATGTGTGTGTGTGTGTGTGTGTGTGTGTGTGTGTGTGTGTGTGTGTGTGTGTG